TACTCCAGTTCAGCGGCATGCTATTCCAATATCACTTGCACGGAGGGACTTGATGGCTTGTGCCCAGACAGGATCCGGGAAGACAGCTGCCTTTTGCTTCCAATTATCAGTGGAATTATGCGGGAGCGATACATCCAGCGACCACGTGGGCCCCGGACTGTGTACCCACTTGCTCTTATTCTCTCTCCAACGAGGGAGCTTTCATGCCAAGTCTGTTATCAGTCTGATTACTTGCATGATGTGCTTTGTTAAAAGTTGCAAACTTCCGAGTGGATAATCCTTACTTTGTTTCTATTTTTACTTACTTGCAGATACATGATGAGGCCAGAAAGTTTTCCTATCAAACTGGTGTCAAGGTGGTGGTTGCTTATGGAGGAGCTCCAATTAACCAACAGGTTTTAATCATGTGTCATCACTGGTGGCATTCTCTCTTTTGTACTATTATATTGTTTATTTTCTAAGAAAAATGAAAATCGGTATTTGAATTGTTTTCATATGAAGTTATTGAACTACTTGACATATCAAATTCTTTTTTTGTTTGTTCGTGTGGCGTTGGCTTATGTTTCCAAATTTGCAGAATTCTGGAATTGCTTAAGCAAATAATCTGCAAACAGTGTAAAGTTTTCATATTATGATTTATTTGCTTGTGGTTCTTTTTTCAATGATATTTTAGTTAAATGACATATGAAGGTCAATAGGCATTCTCGCCAAGGGGGAGGGAGTTGGTGGGAATCTGGTTTAGGGAATGAAACATTTGACAAAAAAAAAAAATTAGGCTTTGAGAATGATTCTAGGTTGCAACATGATCAAGATTTTTTAAGGTTTTTGTTCCAACATATGCAGTTGCCTCTTGGTCTTGATGTCATATTGAACTTTGAGGTTGAAGTGTTTTCTTGTTTTTTTTTTTTTTTTGTTTTTTTCTGTTCAACCTCCCTCTCCTTCTCTCCTAATCCATACTGTTGATAGCATATGTTTGTGGATCTCTTTTCCTGCTAGTCATTGTTTACTATGGATTGTTATTATGCAGCTGCGAGAGCTTGAGAGAGGAGTTGATATTCTTGTGGCAACTCCTGGGCGATTGGTTGATTTACTTGAGAGGGCTAGAGTCTCCTTGCAGATGATTAGATACTTGGCCCTTGACGAGGCAGATAGGATGCTAGATATGGGTTTTGAACCTCAAATTAGAAAGATAGTGGAGCAAATGGACATGCCTCCAGCAGGTGTGAGACAGACAATGCTGTTTAGCGCCACCTTTCCAAAAGAGATACAGGTTTGTTTAGATTGTTTCGATGGGATTTCTGCATCTTCACATTTTGCTGCATTTTTGGTGATAACAGCAGACCAACCCGGACTATGTGGTTCGGCCATATAACAAACTGAAACTAGTCAGATATTTTGCTGTTAAATAAATCAAAATAAATTAAAAAATATACTCAATAAATGTCTAAATTTTGTCATATTATACATATAAATAATAAATCATATATCTATCTAATTTTTGTCAATTAGAAATTAAAATTCATCAAGTAGTAATAAAATTTTAAAAGTAAATTAAAATATACAATTAAATATTAATAAAAATATATAATGAAAATTTAAATATTTTAAATTTAAATAAAAAACTTTCTTAAGTATATATTATATTATATTTAAATCCGACATATATATTAGATTTACATATAATGTGTAAAATATTTTATACCTTGTTTATATACAAAAAATGTTATATTTACTAATAAAATATATATTCAATATAATTGGTCAACCATTTTGTAACTGTGGTCAATTAAAATTACAAACCAAAACCAAAAATATTTGTAGAGTTATGTAGTTCGGATCAGTTATTGGTTCTCATGCACACCCCTATATTTAGCTGAATCTTCTTTTTCATTAGTCTTTATTTTTAATTGTCAAGGACTTTTACCTAGTGGTATGTCATTAGATTCACTTTTATCATTTTATCATTCTCATAACTATCTTTTGCCTAAAATTATGTGATGTTGCCTAGCATGTGAAGTTCTTATCCATTTTTTTTGTTTGTAGACAATCTCAGTTACAGTTACACAGTCATTTGTAAAGACCTTTTTGTTTTCCATATGCCACAGAATCCCAGTGGAGGTTTTGTGTACTGCAGTGACAATTTTTTTCCGAATACTTGTCTGTCTTGCAGAGACTTGCATCTGATTTCCTTTCAAATTACATATTTTTGGCTGTTGGACGAGTTGGTTCAAGTACAGATTTAATTGTTCAAAGAGTAGAATTTGTTCACGAGTCTGATAAGAGAAGCCATCTTATGGACCTTCTTCATGCACAGAGGGAAAACGGAGTTCATGGCAAGGTAAATAAATGCACATTTGCTACATTGTGAATTTAGGACTTGCTTAATGAAGATCTATAATCCATATTGTTAATTTTTTCTTTTGATACAGAGTACTTAGGCATAGTATTAATTATATTATCCTGGACTAAGTTTATTATTCAAACTGCTGGTCTGAAGATGTTCATTCATTCAATTTGACAGCTCTATTGTTTCTAGCAGTTTCTGAATTATAGTCTTGAAATTTGGCAGCAAGCTCTGACGTTAGTTTTTGTGGAGACCAAGAAGGGAGCTGACTCATTAGAACATTGGTTATTTGTCAATGGGTTTCCAGCAACTACTATTCATGGTGATAGAACACAACAGGTGAGTTGCTTGGAGATTTGAATAAGATTCATTAACAAAAGGAGTAATAGGATTTTATGTTTTCTATTCTTTCAAATTCATTTTGTTCTTGTGCTTTTGTTCCTTGTTAATGAGCTTAAAGTCATGTTTGGCTGTGCTGGTATGCTTTATGTTAGCCTGACTCATTTTAGCTTGAGTATGATTTTTGCATTTGCTTAGTATTGAGTGCGTTAAAAGATTATGAAGTTTGAATAAAAGCATAATATGAGTTCAAATCTTCCATTTTTTTACAAGAGCAGAAAATGTATTTGGTACCAAGTGGTTCCTGATAGTACACATAAGCTAATTACAAGCACAAAAAGATCCACGGGTTCTCCTTCACTTGTCAGAGTGTGGGTTGTAATCCAAAGATAAAAGGATATACATCCAAAAATCTCTAACCCTATGAAAAGAGGTTCACCCTATTGGAAATTCTTTTTTCATGCTTCTTCCAAATAGATCGAAGGATAGAAAATGTAACATACTAGACCGAGGACACCATGACAACAAATGCCCCAGGTTTAAATGTTTTAGACTGTGCTCTTTAGTCAAATTTTACAATATTTTGGTGCTTTTCACATTAGTTTCGAAACATTGTGAAAGATTAAAAAAAAAATCAAACATTTTTTTTCTTACTTGTTCAGGTAATCTGTTTTCTGATTTCCCACTTGACACTTGATAATGACTTTAATTCTTATCTCTTGTAAGTGAAACCAACTTAGTTGCTTGGTCACATTTGAGTGACTACTAGTTTTAGGCAGTTCGATTCAATTATTTTGCTGCTTCAGAAATTGATGTTGTGATGGAATGGCTGCAATATTTAACAGGAGATTTAGTTATTTATAGTCTAATTACACTAGCAACCTCTATTTTAGGTTATGCTGTGATTACCTCCTTGACTTTAAAACATACACGTCAAAGAAATTATAAAATTAGTTAACTATCTTGCTATATGTACAATATCAAAATGGTTGAAGTTAAATTAAAGTTGTAATATGTTTTTTGACTAAAATAATCTATTTTGTCATTTGAAAACATTTAATAGATTTATGTGAATAGAAGATTTAATGAAATAAAATTTTGCATTTTTCATCAAATATGTATTGATTAATATGAAACAAATTAAGTAATATGTATATCTTTAAAATACAGGGGATAAGTGTAGGATATGCTAAACTAGGAGGCAGTTAATGTACTTTACATTTATTTGTATAGTGCCAATTTATTTTTGAGAGAGAAAAGGAATATTTTTTTAGAATAAAAATTAATGTAGTTTATATAGGCACCAAAAGAGTGCAACCAGCAGACAAAGCTTAACAAATTGTCAAGATATCAGTTAGGTTCTCAAAATCCTCATCAGTGTAAAGAGGATGATCCTTAAATAAGAAAACCTGGGTTTTGGAGCTAAACATCATGGATTATATTGAAAGAAAATTCTCTGTCATGAAAAACCTTTTTAGTTCTTCATTCCGAATGACACATAAGGTAGCCAGAGAGATAGGGCCTAAATTCTCATCGTAGTGCTTATCCCCATCGAATACCTTCATACCCAGATCTCCTATTTGACCAAGCCAACAATTGCACAAATTTAACCCTGAAAGTCTATAGGCCATAGACCAAACCTGCTAAGAGAAAGGACACCAGAGGAGAAGGTGATTACCCGACTCCACATCTTTCTTACATAAATAGCACCCATGAACAATGACTTTCTCCTTTTAATCAGGCTCAACTATTTCTAAAATACATTCCCTTGTTGCTTCCCAAGCGAAGAAAGCAACTCTAGGTGAAGCATTGTTTTTTCAAATCAGTTTCCATGAAAATTTCACATTGATTATTCCACTCTTTGCTGATTGGAGATAGTAGGATTTCACCGAAAATGTCCCTTCCGATCTGAGCCTCCAAACTGGCTTAGCCAAGATATCTTTTAGCCGTGCACATTGGGACAAACACTGGAACAAATTGACAATATTCACTTACTTTCCGGTCATGGAGATTCCTGGCCAGTTCCACCCCCAAACACTTTACCCAAGGAGTTGGCAATTCACCACCCTCATTTCGCTGCCGTTTCCTCTTTGTTATGAGCTAAGGAATAAGTTGTGGAAAAACGTTTGGCAAGTGCACCACCCTCATTCTGTTCATCCAACCAAAAACTCACCCTTTTGGCCAATTCAATTTTCCACCAGATACACCCATGAAAACCCTCCCTTCCCATGTCTATTTTCTTTCATAATCAAATCATCATACTGACATTTAGTGCTTCTAGAATATCAGTCCTTACTTTCTGTTAAAACTTGGCTTTGATCACTCTCCTTCAAAGATTTTTGTGCGCTCTCATGAATTCCTATAGCCACTTACGCTACAGTGCTTTGTTGAATTCAACCATTAATCTGATTCCAAGATATCTCTGAAGCAGGCCTTTTTTGACATCCCAAGTCACCAAATAGAACTGAAGTCACCCAATAGAGACTGTTGCTATATAGCCTTCTGATTTTTTTGCTATGCTCACCAGAGTAGTTAATCATGACAAGTGATAGCTTTAATTCCTTATTTAAAAAATAAGTAGTTGCACGTTTGGATAAAATACTAATTACAAAATATTTTTATAAGAAAATTAATAAAAAATATATATTTATTATAAATATTTTATAATTTACAACGATATATAGTGGATAGTGAGTGTAAAAGTAAATTCGTTAGATAAAAAAATAAGTATATAAAATGTTAAAATTTAGGTCTTTATTTTTTACATTCTTAAAATCACTTTTAAGAACCTAGTGAGCACACTTTATCAAACATGAAGATTGGAATAAAGTGCTTAAAGCTGCTTATAAGCATATAATAAACAAATCCCAAACACCTTTAAGTTTGTATTGCTTTGTGGTTTGTAGTTTATTTCAGCGACATGTGCCGTTAATTTATGTTTAATCACGTTTTTAACTGATAGTTTTGATTCAGATTTTCTGAGAATAATTTTAGCTCAATTAATGCTTTGGTTGATTCCAACTCATTGATGGGTAATTGGCACATACTTCAAACGAGCTGAGTTGGGTGACCCACTTCAATTTTTGCATCTCATGGACCTTGATTTGGAAAACATCCATCTCAGCAGTAAATTCAAACCTGAAGAAAAACAGGAGTCCTCTTATTAGATATTTTATCCTACGGTTTGTGTTTATTATATTGTCAGGCAGCAACGTCTTTGACATATTAATCATATGATTTTATCTGATCCAGGAAAGAGAAATGGCATTAAGATCATTTAAGAGTGGGAAGACACCGATATTGGTGGCAACAGATGTCGCAGCGCGAGGCCTTGATATACCTCACGTAGCTCATGTAGTTAACTTCGATCTACCCAATGACATTGATGATTATGTTCACCGGATCGGACGAACAGGTCGAGCAGGCAAAACAGGGCTGGCGACTGCCTTCTTCAATGAAAGCAACTTTTCAATGGCAAAGCCCCTCACGGACCTAATGCAAGAAGCAAATCAGGAAGTACCTGCTTGGCTCGCTCAGTATGCATCACGCGCCTCATATGGTGGCGGTAAAAATCGGCGTGCGGGAGGGCGTTTTGGAGGCCGTGATTTTAGAAGAGAAGGCCCTATTAACAGAAGTGCAGATTACTACAGTGGAGGGAACACCGGCGGCGGCGGATACGGGGTTCCCGGAGGTTATGGCGGGGGTTACAGCGCCGGTGTGACCAGTGCATGGGATTAGGGTCTCTCATCTTATACTGAATATATTTTCTTCTCTCTCATTAGTTTTCATATTCTTCTCCTTCAGCATTCAAGGATATGATCCTGTGCTCCACCTTTCTCAACTGCTGCTAGTTCAAAATTTCAGGGAAAATAGTTCTAGGTACTAATCTAGGGTTTAAATTTTTTTAGGTTATTATTTTAGAGTCATTGATTTATTGATGTTCTCCATTCTTTTCTCTCTTCCTCCTCTCCTCAGTCACTATGAATCTTGTAAAATTCCCAAAAAAAAAAATTGTTGACTTTTCATCTCGTAGTTTTATTAAGAAAAAAGACTTTGTATCGGTAACTTTTCGCTGCTCCTGGTGTTGAAGATGGTCAATCTGAACGCTCCAGTCTCCATTACTCTTTTAGGTAAAACCATTTTTTCTTAATTATTTCTGCCTAATTGATTATTAACACAAATTTTGTCGATGAACAGAAATATAATAGTATTGATAATAGTATCTTGTAATGTAATCTTGGTATATGTCAGGTTTGATTATATATGTATCACCTATGCATTTTGCAGGGTTACGCAAATGCATCATATTAAGACCCTACCAAACTTACCAGGCAAGCAAGGAAACCCGTATTACGTGGCAGCTGTAACATATGTGTGTATATATATATATATATATGTGTGTGTGTGTGTATGTATCTATATCTTTGTACTCTTACCAAAAAAATCTCTAGTAGAAAAGTATATAAGCCTTCCCGGCATTAATTAGAATTCTTACGTTTAGGTTAGCTCTAAAAGCATTGATCTTTCTATAACGTACAAGACACTATGACATGTAATTGTGTTTGATGTCAAATTCTCATTCGATTCTAGATCTTGGGTAAGTAGTGTTATTTCAATTAACGTGTTGCTAAATCAATTTCAAATTTCAAATTTAATGTTAAACATTAGATTGGTTTTTATCCCACGATATAAAAGCAATTCGTTAATGACATTTTTAAAAACCCATTACTATTTTTTTTGTGTGGATAATTTATAATGTCAGAGTAATATATACATACATACATATATATATAATTTGCACATCAAAATCTCAAATTTAGTAGTTAATTACAAATATAACTTTATAATTTCAGTGTTTTTTTAATGTATCAATCGCTACTTAACTCAATAATTGATATGTCTATTTTTTTAAAAGAAGTCACGAGTTCGAATCGGATTGTATTTCTATATATTATATTATTTAAAAGTTATTTGTATTGTATTGTGATTGATATGTATATATATTATATATAGTACTTAATTGATGAGTGTATATATTTTTTATTTTTTTTAAAAAATCTTTTAATATACGAAATTCATGAACAATTAAATTTTAATGTATCAATCACTACTTAACTCAATAATTAGTATGTCTATTTTTTTTAAAAGAAGTCATGAGTTCGAATCGGATTGTATTTCTGTGTATTATATTATTTAAAAATTATTTGTATTATATTATGATTGATGTATATATATATCATGAATGAATATATTTTTAAATTTTTTTTAATGACCAATTAATTTTATTTAAAAAATATTTTTAAATTAATTATAAAATTTATTAAATTCAAAATTCAGATTTGGAACATTAACTACGATGTTTTTTTTTTTTTTTTGGGTTCATAATTATTCGTAAAGAGAACTTTTATGTTTGGATGATGCCATGAAAAAAGCACTCCATCGCTTGAAAAGTAGAAAATTCCAACCACCATCCGCAGCAGTCGAAACCGGAATCAGCGACAGAAACGAAACTACACTTCTCTCGTCCAATCAGATTCTGCCGTGTCCGCCACGCGCACAGCGTTGTAGTGTTTAATTCTCCCGTGCACAATTATAATTCCTAACAGTTCGTTAATTATTTTTTTATTTTTTAATAAAATATATGAAAAACGTTTTGAATATAAAAAGTAACCAAAAGTAACTTATTCAAAAAGTTTTAACAAATTAATTACATAATTTTTACGTCATAATTATGTGCTTAAAAAAAATAAAATTAATATTATTTATCCTTTGGCTGGTAGGGGGTGTGGAATGACCGAAATGCCCTCGCATTGTGCGGAACAGTCGTTGCCCTTGATATTTCTTTTCCCCCTTATTCTCTCTCTCTCTCTCTCTCTGTTATTTATTTTCTCGGGAATTAGAGAAGAAAAAAGGAGGAAAAAGAAAAAAAAAAATGAAGAAAAGATTTTGATAATTTGATCTGATTTTGAAAAGGGGAAGACATCTCAAAACACAAATATCTTGCTCTTCATTCTCTCTCTCTCTCTCTCTCTCTCTCTCTCACCTGCATAAAGCTTAGCCGATACTTACGCTTCGTGTCCTGAGACCGAGAAGGAGTTATTAGGGTTTCTGTCTTCGAGCTTCAATCGAATTGAACTGAGATTGATTACATGCTTGTTCCAGGTTTACTTCTCTCTTTGCCTTTCGCACGATTTTCTCCTCCTTGAAATGCCGCGAGCTAGGTTTATATTTTCGCATTAAGCGCGGGGGGTTGGTAGGAAGTGAATTTGGGGTCTGTTGTTGATTAATCTTTTTATTTTGGTCTAATCGCATTGGTTTCGTATACTTTGGTTGTTATTTTCTACCGGATCTGTTTGTTTGCTTGATTGTTTTATGATATTTGGTAGATTGTTGTAATCGTATCTGTATCTCTGCGAATTTTTAAGCTCGGTTGCTATTTTTCTGTTTGTTGGATATGCATGTTTTTATTTTGAAGTTTTAGTTTTTATGGTTCCTCGATCATATCTTCGTTCTTCTGTTTTTTTTTTTTTTTTTTTTTTTTTGAAGCGGGTTTTTGTTTATTTTTTGGACTAATTTTTGTTTTGTTTTGTTTGACCGTGGTTACATGTATTGATTAGGGTTTGATCTGCGATTGGTGTAGAGGAAAGGGAAAAAAGATTCTGTTAGTTTGAAGTCCTCCGATATTTTGTTATATTCTGTTAGCTGGATTAGGCATTTGCTTTTAGCTTTGGGATTATCCTAAAATTAGGAGCAATTTTGGAGATGAGCACTTCATGGGCAGATTCTGTGGCTAATTCAGAGAATGCAGCTGCTGGTTCTTCTGATAACAATAGTGTTTCTCGTCCTACACGACCAACTTATGTTCCGCCCCATCTTCGTAACAAGCCACCGTCATCTGAGCCTCCTGCTCCTTCCCAGGCTAATGACCGTGTAGTTTATGGTGGGCCCTCTGGTGGTTCCCGCTGGGGTGGTGGTCCTAGACTTGATTATGGGCGTCAAGGGTATGGCTCTGGTGGCTTCGGGTATAGTTCTGGAGTTAGAGGTGGTGGCTGGAATAATAGAAGTGGGGCCTGGGACAGGAGAGGACACGAAGTAAACCCATTTGGTGATGATGATAATGATGCCGAGCAGGCCTTTAGTGAGCAAGAGAACACAGGGATTAACTTTGATGCCTATGAGGATATTCCAGTTGAGACAAGTGGAGACAATGTTCCGCCACCTGTTAATACATTTGCTGAAATAGACTTAGGTGAAGCATTAAACCAAAATATTCGCAGATGCAAGTACGTAAAGCCCACACCAGTTCAACGTCACGCGATTCCAATATCGCTCGCTGGGCGGGATTTGATGGCTTGTGCTCAAACGGGGTCGGGGAAGACAGCTGCTTTTTGCTTTCCAATTATTAGTGGAATCATGCGGGAGCAGTATGTACAGAGACCACGTGGTGCCCGCACAGTTTACCCGCTTGCTCTTATTCTCTCCCCAACAAGGGAGCTATCATGCCAGGTTCATTGTTAGCCAGAGTACTCAAGTGAGGTACATTGTTAGGAAGTTGCAGAATTCATATGGGTGATCTTTATTTTGTTTTATTGCTATTTACTTGCAGATACATGATGAGGCTAGAAAGTTTTCCTATCAAACTGGTGTCAAGGTGGTGGTTGCTTATGGGGGAGCGCCAATCAACCAACAGGTTTCCATTATATGGCATTAATCGTGGCATTCTTGCTTTCCACTTATACATGGGTTTTCCAGAAAAGAGAACATTATCAAAAAATTATCACATTTTTCATTATCCTTGCAATTAATATTTATTTATTTTTTTTATAAATATTATCATCCTTTCTGAAATCCATCAAATTCTGGAATTCCTATTGTTTTTTTTGAAATGAAAGAAAAGTATATTATTATGGACAAAGGTACCAAGAGGGTACCGCTCGTATATAAAATAGTTACATATCAGTTAAGTAGTTAATGACCATTCCAATCTCTTCCCAGTCTCTCATGTCATGATCCAATAAAATAGAAGCAAAAGTGTTACTCCATTTATCTCTAATTTTTACAAAGTCAATTTCAATACCCTCGAAAGTTCTCATATTTCTTTTCTTCCACACTACCCAAAAAATGATAAGCAGAACTAAGAATAAATGTTTTTTCTTTTTACATATACCTGACCAAGCCCACAGTTCCTTACCAACCAAAGTCCATGATAACCCAATTCATTTCCATAATCCCATAAACAGTTGTCCAAATATTGTAAACAGCTGGACAATTGAGTAAGATATGATTGCATGATTCCTCATTGTTTTTACATAGATAGCATCTATTTACCAAGTGTTGCCTCTCCTCTTCAACATATCAATGGTTAGGATACTTTCTCGAGCAGCTTCCCAAGCAAAAAAAGACATTCTGGGAGGAGGTTTTGATTTCCAGATCTGTTTGTAAGGTGCTGTCAGCTCAACCCCACTCTCTTTTTTGCCTAAGTAATTGTAATAGGACTTCACCGAGAAGCCCTTCTGCTTGTCAAGTTTCCAAATTCTGCTGTCATTCTCCGTCAGCTTGATATTGGTCTAACAGAGGAGCAAGTTACAGTATTCTTCCACTTCCCAGTCCTTCTGGAATTCCTATTGCATATTTTGTAGCTGGTATCAAGTTTTCAAATTATGATCTCTGTGTAGTTTCTGTCTCAGGACTTAGTGCTGTGTAGGCATTCTTGTAGATTGGCTGCTGTACCACATTTCCAACCTTTTGGAGTGTAACATATTTGATGGCTATAAGAAAAAAAAAATTAAATCAATGGTTTCTGATTTCTATCATTTCTGCGTTCTTATAGCTTGCTCTTCCATATCTAACATATTAGAGAGTAAAATATAAATGGTTTTACCTTTTTATTGTCAGTAAATGTTCTTGTTGTCTATATGACATCTTTCCCAGTTTCCCTTGAACCAGTATTTATTTATCCCTTATAGAGGTAGTGCGGGATGATTTATGGGCAGAAAATATTTTGTTTGCTGCTGAAAAAATGAGTTAATATGCTACAGGGGGTTGCGTAATTTTGTTATAACTTGTGTTTGCTCCAAAGGATTTACCCAATAGCATATTTACTTTTAATTTTTTCTTCCCTTATTTTCCTCTCTAAATCTGTTTTGTACTTGTGATATGTTTTTCTATCAGTTGCGTGAGCTTGAGAGAGGAGTTGATATTCTTGTAGCAACTCCAGGACGATTGGTTGATTTGCTCGAGAGGGCTAGAGTTTCATTACAGATGATTAGATACTTAGCACTCGATGAGGCAGATAGGATGCTGGATATGGGATTTGAACCTCAAATTAGAAAGATTGTGGAGCAAATGGACATGCCTCCACCAGGTGTTAGACAGACAATGCTTTTTAGCGCCACATTTCCAAAAGAGATACAGGTTGGTTTGCCATTCTGCCTTTTTTTGTTAGGTTGTCTCCATTTCCTTGTGGTTGGTGTGATTTATTTTCTTTTTATTCGTGTAGATTTTTATTCTGAAATCCTTCACATGCATGACCTTTTTTGCTAAGATTACTTGCTAGCATGTAAAGTTCTTATAAAATATGGAGTACTAGATATCATCGATATCTTTCTTTCAAAATATATTATTTTTTCATTTGCTTCTTTCTCTTCCTTAGTAATATTTCTTCTTTTATCTAAAAAAAAACATTTTTTCTTGCATGCAGAGGCTTGCATCTGATTTCCTTGCAAACTACATATTTTTGGCTGTTGGAAGAGTTGGTTCAAGTACTGATTTAATTGTTCAAAGAGTAGAATTTGTTCATGAGTCTGACAAGAGAAGCCATCTTATGGATCTTCTTCATGCACAGAGAGAAAATGGAACACACGGCAAGGTAAAAAGATGCATGGCAGCATTGCATTTTTGGTTTGCATATTGAGGCTCCTTATTTTAGTGAAATTAAGTTTTATTATTCTGAAGTAAAGTTATCATTTAAAGTGCTAGTCTAAGGGTATTTTCTGATTTAATTGATAAATTTACTGTTTTGAGCGGCTTATTTTGTAGTTACGTTTTTAAATTTGCAGCAAGCTCTTACATTAGTTTTTGTTGAGACAAAGAAGGGGGCAGACTCCTTGGAACATTGGTTGTGTATGAATGGGTTTCCGGCAACTACCATTCATGGTGATAGAACACAACAGGTGAGTTGATCAGATTATGAATAGTTAACCAATGACCGTTGATGTTACTTTTTTTTTTAAGAATATGTTGTCTTTATTTGGTTTACTTGTCATCAACGAACCTTTTTCACTTGCTTGACTCATCTTGACATCAGTATGAGCCATGCACATATGACTGTTTAGCCTTGAGTTAATAGCTAAAATTAATGCATAAATGATTTCTTATCTCCATCATTTTTTGTTAAGAACACAAAAGCCTTAGAATTCACAAGCCTCCGTGTAGAAAACCTTTGCACAAATCATTAGACTATTTATGAGGTGCCCCAGATTTTCTCCATCAATTAAATGATGACCCGTGAACAAAATACACAGGATTTGAAACTAACCAGCCCTAATTTGCCAAAAGGAGAACAAATGTCGCTGTAAAGTCTTCCGTCCCTCCAATGATATTACCCAGGAGATAGCCAAAGGGGTGAGATAAACTATTTTTTTTTTGTTTTACCCTCTCAAAGATCCCCTCACAATCCTGAAGTGACCCACAGCCTTCTGGCCTTTGAGCAACGTAGGAGTAGATTATGAGGGAATTCATTCTTGTGGAGACAATGGAAGCATCTGTGAGCCCAACTTCTTCCACATTTCATCAATTTATCAATAGTGAGAATACTGCCCCAAGCAACTTCTTAGGCAAAAAAGGAAATTTAGGGTGAGTCTATCTTGTTTGTGATTGGTCCAAGGGACCAGACTTAGGAATGTTATTCTGGTGCCTATCACGTTAGTGCTTGGTATACAACTTTTTGAAAGCTTATGAAAGATATAAAATGTGTGACAAACATGTAAAGATGTTCGTTTTTTTTTTCTTTTGAAATAAAGAGATGTTCTTAATTAGGTGAACTATTTTTCTATTCTCTTTTGGTATTTGACACATTTGATGATAATTTCTTGCATCCTAGGGGACAACACTTGGAAGATTGATTATTTAAGTATAAGTACTGTATTTAAAAAAAAAAATTAGTATAAGTAGGGACACTTGGTGAAAATTCAAAAGACACCCTTGTCTGTGCGGTAAATTTAGGATCTTCGGAGATGACTTTTTTTTTTCCCAGTAGTGATTGTTGCATAAAAATCTGAATAGACTTCTACTGCAAAAGAAAAAGAAAAGAAAAAGAGAAAAAGAAAACCTTCTGAATAGAAAACTTGAGTTATTAAAGTCCTTTTATCCTGTATTTCACATGTATATTATTTGGGAGCAATGTCTTTGACGCTTTTAGCCTATGGCTTTGCTTGATCCAGGAAAGGGAGATGGCATTAAGATCATTTAAGAGCGGGAATACGCCAATATTGGTGGCAACAGATGTTGCTGCACGAGGTCTTGACATACCCCATGTTGCTCACGTAGTTAACTTTGATCTACCCAACGACATTGATGATTATGTTCACCGGATAGGACGAACAGGGCGAGCAGGAAAAACAGGGTTGGCAACTGCCTTCTTTAATGAGAACAATTTGTCAATGGCAAGGCCCCTTGCTGATCTAATGCAGGAAGCAAACCAGGAAGTGCCTGCTTGGCTCACTCGGTATGCATCCCGTGCTTCATATGGTGGTGGAAAAAATCGGCGATCTGGGGGAGGGCGTTTTGGTGGCCGTGACTTCAGAAGGGAAGGCTCTTTTACTAGAAATATGGATTACTATGGAGGGAATAGTGGTGGTGGTGGGTATGGTGTGCCTGGAGGTTATGGTGGGGGTTATGGTCCTGGTATGACCAGCGCATGGGATTAGAGTCCCAACTTTTACTTAATCTTTCTTTTTCCGTTTTTGTTTTCTCATGACTATATATATATATTTTCCCTTCAGAGTTTAAGGATAATTTTGTGTCTTCATCTCTTTTTCAACTGCTGCTGACTTTTTGTTGGGTTTCGATATTGGATTTATTGTGGCAAGTTCTATTGAGAGGAGTATCGGGAATATCCTCTCTGATTGGAGGATGGATGTAATTATGGTTTTCTTTTTAGTGAGATAACGTGTTAGATTTCTCTATGTGCCTCTATGCACATCTGCATGAGCACACCGAGAGACTAGGAAGGTGTTATTTCCATTTTTTGTTAGGTGAGAATTTCTGAAAGAATTACATACAATCTGAATAGAATTACATGCAAGGAAGACTCTAGCTTTAGTTTCATTCACGGTTTAGTTATAAATTGAAAGTTCTGTTGAAAAGATGAGGTTTTTATGCTTGTGCTGGAAAATTTGATGTTGTTGGAATGCAGGATAGATGTATTTCAACAGGGGCATGCACAATTGATTCAGTGATTAAAAAATATGCATGTTATTGTAGGTTTTCAAAGGCTCTCTCTCTCTATCTAGTAAGAGATATTCATTTAGAAGTAGTGTTTTTCCTGTTGATATTGACCCATCAAGTAGCCTTGCTTTACTGTTAAGTTCTTTTGTATTGACACTGAAAATCTATGAAAGTAGACATTGAAAGCTTTCTGCTTGGGCATTGTTTGCATGTTTTTTGGCTTCTTATGAAGTTGACTCTCTCTAGTAAGAGATTCATTTAGACCCATCTGAGTAGCCTTGCTTTACTACTATTAAGTTCTTTTGTATTGGCACTGAAGATCTATGAAAGCAGACATAGAGAGCTCTCGGCTTGGGCATCGTTTGCATTTTTTTTTTGGCATCATATGAAGTTGATTTGCCAAAAGACAATTGGGTATCGGAGGATTGTTGAATGCCGATGCAAATCCAATCAATGCTATCTGGTAAAATGAAAAGAAATCCATTTGGAACTTCAGTGTATAAAATTCTTTCCATGCATGTCAAGCAGCAATTGCTTCGATCATATTTGGTAGAAAAGAATGCGAAGTTGACCTCGAGATCAATGTGAGGATTCATGATAAAATTGGTCAGATGTATCATCATCCTAAAGATACACATACAGAGAAATTATCTTTATATTGCGAAGTACATGTTTGTGTCAGGTATGGAAATGTTTGACATGAAACTGCCACTTCAATTGCCAAAATTCACCTAATAGAAAATATTACAAGTTTGGTGGTGAAAATTTGAAGGAAAAAAAAAATGTATTCATATAGAAAAGCTATATATGTCTAGCAGAAAAAACATTAAACTAAAAATCAATGTCATCTTTTGCAATGACATGTTCTAAAAGAATTTGACAAATACTTTTTTTTTAAAAAAAATTAATTATTTTAATTTTAAAAAATTTAATGTGTCATAACTCGCAAGAACGAATTATAACTTAGTCATTATAGTTTTATTAACACACTAATAATATAATTACGAAGTGATGAGTTTTAGATTCGAACTCAATGATTTTTAAATAATAAACAAAATTTTTAATTACTAAACCATCGTATCAATAATAAATAATTAGAAAAAATATTGTGCTGCTTATACATTCAAACAGCACAACACTTACATAAAGAAAGGGCGACAGGCAATAACAATATACGGCCAATTTTACAAACTCATACGAGCGCAGCCAAAATGATATGACAGCATTTGTATGGAAATCTTTGAACAAGTTATGGCCAAGGTGAGGATAAGGAAACACAAGGTTTGTACATTCTATATGTTCATGTCCTACTCTAGATATCATACTCTTTCAGTTTCTGGCAGTAATATTCAAGGGAAGCTCATGAAAAGCAATCTTCTTCTGTTTTCTCTTAAGGTAGCAAGAGAAACATATTGAAATTTTTTTCAGGCTGCTATTAACATTAAGTTGCAGAACTTCTAACTAGTGGTTTCATAATGTAAGTTACTATATCCTCACTGTATCCGTGATAATAAGGGACATGATAACATATCAACCACTGGGAAATAAGTGAAACTGAAAAGGCTCTACTCTCTAGTATCTACACCAAAATGGGAGGAGAAAACACTTCTGCAATAGAGAAGAATAACATGTCATTTAGCATTTTCTGAACAATTCAGTCCTTGAATTTACTTGGCATCAGTAGTGATCTACAGCTAAAATTCTAAAACCATATGCTTTATACTGTCTACGTAATCTTTTTGAGGTAAAATACCATTTATGAACTTTATTACTATATGCTAAAGAGTAAGAAAATCATGATATTAAAAATGAAGTAAATTAGAGTGTCAAAGAAAAAATAAATTAAGATGTTGTAAAGCAAATAAATGAGGGTGTTAGAGAAAATAAATTAGATTAAAGAAAAAACTATATCTTTTCTAATTAATTGTTTATTTTCTTTTTCGTTATAGAAAACTTTTATATATGAGACTGCAATATTCAAGTAAATACACGTCAATTGAAAAAAACCATTCTTAACAATATGTTCTGATTGGTTTTAAGTTTGTTCCTTCTGCAACAAGTTCCAATTGTTTCTCCCTTCCTCAAAGCTAAAATCCAATGAATTGTCTTACGTGCAATATGAAACAAAAGGGAAAACAAACTTATGGAATGCCAAACTAATTTGTTTCTCCAAATGTTGTAGATTTAGAGAAGTCAAAGTTTAAATCATACTCTAAATTATTTGATGGTAAATACAAAATGGAGAGAACCATATAATTTAAAAGCAAGACACAATAGGTAAAGCTAAAAAGCACAGCAATGGAAATCAAAACCTGCTGCCCATTCTCTAAACAATCTTTGTTTTACAAAAAGAACCTACCTCAACGTTGATAATCACTTTTCCTATCTTGACTGAGCTCTAAAAGGGTGTTGTTTCTGTTAAAGAATTACTCCTCGTTGTCGGATTCATCATCTGTATCTGATGTTTCTCCAAAGCATTCATCATCGGTTACACACTCTTCCTCTTCCATCTCTTCTTCTTCTGTTTCATTCTCTATATCATCAAGCAAATTGTTTTCCTGAGATATCATATTCACACCTCGACCACGATAAAGAAGACCTGTTCTCATGACATGATAAAACTTCTCTCTAAAATTGGCTAGAGGATGTGGATCTGTCAATTTCCCTCGGCGGTAGCCTTCCTTGAGTACCACAGTCGTCGTCTTACATTTTAATGATAAATAGAAAATCCCAGGATACCTTGTAAACAACCGAGTAAATTTATGAGTAAGGTTCAGTTCCTCTCTCAAGCTTCTCAAGTAGTTCCTCTTGGTCTTCTTTTGAATAGTCAAGCTCAGAAACTCATGCAGAACTCCAACAGCTCTTTTCTCCATAAGATCAGTCTTTGGGTCTATATGCCTTGAATCCTCATATGGTGATATATATGGCAGCTTCTGAAACTCCTCCATCCACGCCCTAACCTTCTTCTGTGCTCCATATCCCCTTGGAAAATTCATTGGGAATGCTAGTGCTGTTTGTCCTCTCTTAAACTGCCTATACTGATCTCGTGTTTCACTGGCCTCATTACTCCGCTCCAATGCCGAAGCAGCAAATTCCTCATGCCATTTTGCAAGTCGCAAACATGGAATCCCATTTGAGGCTTTAACAAATTGAAAATGACATGGGTATTTCGGAACCAATATTTTCTCACAGTTATCAGGCAAACCCAGATCCCATCTCAAAGAATGCAGTGACTTGAGAGGAACTATCCTATTTTTCATCATCATAAGCACTCTAGAAAGTCTCTCCACGGTATCATTCTCCTGATTCTGATATATACTTTGTTCTTGTGAGTCCAGCAAAAGTGCAGTGTCTGTCAACTTGAAACAAGGCAAATTTGCATAACGATCGTGTGGAAATTCACGGAAAAGAGTTGGATACCTACATGGAAATAAAATTTTTTTTTCCCCATCAACACAAAATCTTCTACAAAGTCCTGTCTTACAATAAGAAAAATTCAAAATGCAATATCCATTGATCTTATACAGAGGCAGATATGCAACAAAACTACAACAAGCAGCCATCAGAAATAGCTTGGTACCTCCATGATTACCATTTCACAAGCTCTCTAACTAATCACCCCCACAATTACAGGATAAACTGTCTTCACCTAGGTTCTGTTGGAACTAAGGAAGAGAAAAAATAATAATAAACTCAGAGGACAGGAGAAGAGAAAATAGATATTGATATGATTTTCTGGTCTCCTCTCTTCTGATTTTGTTCTTATTTTTTCTCTTCTTTAGAGCCTCTCAGAAGTAAAAAGCAGCAGCTTTATATAGCAAACCACAAATAGCTTTTGAAAGCTTTGTGCAGCCAGCAATTCCATGTTTTGATGGTCATTATGGCCATTGGAGTATGCTTATGGAAAACTTTCTAATATCCAAAGAATACGGGACTATGGTTGTTTCTGGAATAGCAGAACAGCAGGTACTACATTGACAGAAGTCAAGAAAACGAAGCTCAAGCACAGAAGTTTATTCTTATTTTTCTGTTCTTAAGTTCCAACAGGTTCAACATAATCACAATTTTGATGACAGTATAGCAAGAGTGCAGAATCTATCAATAAAAACCGCCAAAAATCATAAATTTGTAACCAAAAGATTCAGGAAAAGGAGCTATAAAACACCTGCGCAAGAAGCGAAGAACCGGAACAGTGAGGCCAAGGAGCTTTTGCCAATCGGCAAAAGACTTTGCAGTGAGGAACCCAGTAGGAGAACGTTTGATTGCATCCTTGAGGAGGCAAGCAGCCTTGAGATCAGTCTCCGTGTCGATGACATGATCGAGACTTCGGTTTTTAACCCATTTGAGCCTAACCTTGGCTATCCCTCGCCATTGATGGCATTGGGGAAGAAGAAAAAAAAGATTATGGTGACTCGGCTTTAATCCCTCCGCCGGCGGCTGTAGTAGAAATCTCGGTATTGAAGTGAAAGACTTTCTGGGTCCGAAGAACATGAACTTGCAGTTAGTTTTGCAGAGAATCTGTAAATCCCAAAAGATTATGTTTCATTTGATGCTGTGTCTTTGGTTTTCTCCTCCTATTTGTTCTTGTTCGTTCGAGGAAGACCGCCTAATTGCTCCAGTGATTTATTCATGTAAATTTGCAGACAAATAAATGGAGTATTTCATTATATATATTAAAGATTTACAGTGCAAATTAACTGATTTTTTATTTAAAGTTCAAGTTGAAAATTTATTTTTCATAAAAAATTTATTGACAAAATTTTTATGATTTGCTTAATTTTGATTTTTTAATATAATATATAAATAATAATAATCATATAAACAGTACAAACTCACGATTTCACATGTAGGAAAAAAAATAGTAATTATTTAAATAAGGAGTATTTAGTAATTTAGTATTGATTAATTAAAAATAAATTGTTTTAAGAAAATATTAAAAAATATGAATCTGAAGTAAAACCAAAAAATAAAAGACCAAACTTTAGAATTTTTACCATCCCTAATACGGTGGTGTTCAGAAAAATTCTGTAAAAGGATTGAACGAACAGAAAAAGTGTCTTGACGGGTGACAACAATGGAAATGCAAGAGGAGCCAACGTGGAGCAGAGAAACAGTGCCAAAGGTGATGAAGATAGTGAGCGCAAGGCTTCCTCAGAAGGACCTCATATCTCTCCTTCTCGTAAATTCATGGCTGTATCATACTCTTCTCTCCTGCTCATCTCTGTGGTTGGTACGCCTATGATTTTTCCCCTGCTAATAAAAAGTTTCACCCTCTTTTTAAGTTATTTCTACTGTAAGTTGCTTCTTCTGATCTGGGTTTTGCTTATTTTGGAAGGTCATTAACTTGCGTGAGATGCTTAATGCTGGAGATCGACTGATTGCTGCTCTCTCATTGGTAGGTTTTAGAAGTTCTGTAATTGGTTTTGGTGAAGTCTTAATTTTTTTGGCATGAAATGAAGATGGGTTTCTCTTTTTTTTTTTCTTTTTCTTTTTTAGTTTCTTGCTAGGAGCTTTTTTATTTTGCTGGGTATGGTGAGTGCATGATTAATGGGAAAGTGATGAATTGATGTCCCTTTTGTAGTCCAGATATCAACATGTGAAACAAATAGAGCTTGAATTTGCACAAGATGTTGAAGACAGACATATGGAACTTGTTAAAAGCAAGGTAATGTTTTTATTACTCAGGTAATGGAAACGTTTTTCTTTTTTTGAAAAACAAAGCGTGGGTTGTGTTGATACATACAAAATTTGTAAGTCAATTTATGTATCAACAAGTTCTACTAAATCCTCCAAAGAACAAGAAGGATGATATTGTAACAAAAAACCAAGAGTCTAAAACCATATATAGATATCAAAACCATTTACATCCTTCACCTCACTTAGGTATTGGGAATTATCACTGAGGAACTCAGGAAGGTGGGAAGAAGAAATTTTAAATATGAAGTTTTTTTTGTTCAAAATGATTTTTTTTTCTCTTTTGGATTCATATAAAAAATTTTCTTTGTTTTCTCTTTATTTCTGTTTAACATGTGAAGTTATTTTCTAATGTGTAATGATTTCAGTGCTCAAATGCTCTTCAAGATTTGGAGTCTTTGAATCTGAATGTGTGCCAAAAGATTTCTGACAAGGGAATCGAAGCCATCACCAGTACTTGTGCAAAATTGAAGGTCCTCTCTATCTATTGGAACGTGAGGTATTATTGGTTTCACCTGACCACCAGACATGCTTTAATATCTGATTGTTTACTATCAAAGCCGAATTTTCTTGGTTGTAGTGAATTATTGAACATCACTTGAATCTCAGGGTAACAGATATGGGCGTGGAGCATCTGGTGAAGAACTGCAAATATATAGTAGACTTGAACTTAAGTGGGTGTAAGGTATCAGATTCCTGATTAGGTCAGAATTTTGTCCTGAATGATACTATCAGCAAAACAGCTGTGTGATTATACATATCCCCTTAACATATTCATACTCCGTTTCTCTCAGAACTTTAGGCTAGAGTAGAAAAGATGAACAGTTTTATGTATGCTTGTTTGTCTAATGGTCAAGGCCAAAAGACTTCTACTCAATTTCCAACTCTGCAATGATGCACTTTAGGGAGATTTATTTTGGTAGGATGAAGTAACTGAAACCTTGGGAATGTTTGTAACTAAATTTGTGGCTTATTTTTGCTGTTGGAATCTATCAGTGATAAGCCATAATGAGAAGTATAAGAAGAGTACGCACTTGTAAGAAGTTTAAGAAGGTGTGACTTGTAAGATAACTGAGATGATTCATGAGTCGCATCGATATTTGCATCATTACATGGTGACAAGGTTTACCATTTAATAGATCAAAAGGTCCTGTGGCAGCAGTGGCCAAAAAGAAGATGTTAATTAGTCCAGCCTAAAAATGTCAAATACTTGACCTTTCATTTTCTGTGTTTGGTGAAGTCAATAAGGCGTAATGAAATGTCAGTTATAAAAAAAACATCTCCTACATTTCACCTATGAACAATTTTAACAAATGCTGAAGATCCTCCAATTATGACTGATACTTGCATCTATGCCCAGACTAAAAAGCTGCTGTTCCTGGCCTGATATGAGAAGAGTGAATCAGTGCATAGCTTTCAGTGGCCAAGGTAGTGAGTCGTTGCAATTCAAGAAACAGAAATAGGGAGGGGATGGAGTAGGGATCAATGGGAAGGAAAGATGGCTCTCTATGTCCATCACTTCTCAGGTCTTACTTCACTCATAAATAAAAATCTTGGTCTTTAACTTTGTGGCGGAGTGAGGACTGACAGGAGATCCAAAGGAAATGAAGTGCACATTGAAATTTTTTTATTATTGTATAACTACCCAATTTTCTTTTTTAATGACTAAAAAAGATGGAGACTTGCAATGTAATATAATCATGGAGGTTCATTTTTGGAAGTTTTGTTTACTCTAATCCCTTCAAGTAAAGAATAAGTGCATTCATTATAGATTTTATTCTGTTTCCTTTTAAGAATTCCTTTTACATGCATGTGTTTCAGTTTTGAACTAATATTTGTTATTTTAATGCACTGACTTCTAATAAAGGCTTTTTGGGTAACAATTGCAGAATATAACTGACAAAAGTTTGCAATTAATAGCTGATAATTATCAAGACTTAGAGTCACTGAACCTGACTAGGTAAGGAAATTTTCTTTATTTTATTTTCCATCGGATCAAGGTCATGTAAATGTGAAATGAAAATGATGTCTGAGAGAGGTTCTCTTTTAGATTTATGATTACCAATTTAGACTGTGAGCAATCTAGGAAGTGGTGATATGACTATGCATTTTGATGAATGGGATGAATGCGATGATGATAATGGTACTCACAACTTGCATGCAATAAAGAAGGTACTCACAACTTATAATGATTATGGGTGCTCCCAGGTGCATCAAACTCACGGATGAAGGCTTGCAACAGATATTGTTCAAGTGCTCTTCTCTCCAGGGCTTAAATCTTTATGCACTTTCTAGGTATGCCATGATATTGTCGGTACCTATGTGGACAGTTGTAACTATTATTGGTCTATTTTGGAACTGATGTAAATGTTTGTTCAGCTTCACAGACAAGGTTTACAAGAAGATATCACTTTTAGGCCATTTAAGATTCTTGGATTTATGTGGAGCCCAGGTAGCAAAATTTCCCAAAAAATTACATTTTTTTGGTTGAACTTGATGCTAATCAAATAGTTGATGTCAGAATTTATCCGATGAAGGACTTTCTTGTATAGCTAAATGCAAAAACCTGTTATCTCTCAACTTGACATGGTAAGGAAATTTTTGAACATGCTGTTGACATTACATAAAGTAATAGCGTTATAGGAGGCTAATGTTTGTGACTTTATAGGTGTGTAAATGTCACCGATGTGGGCGTGATTGCCATTGCTCAGGGTTGCACCTCCCTTGAATTTCTTAGGTACTTCATTAATATTATTATTTAATTTGCAATTATTGCTATGAGTTATTTCTAAGATTTCATAAGTTTCTGATCATTCATCCAGTTGCTTCTGCATCTAAATGATGAGTATTCTTTTAAGTAGATTCCACTTTTTAGTTGTGTTTCTAGACTCTAGCAATGGGTACCCAGTGGTAATTCCCTGAGAATATGATTTGGAAATAGCTCCCCCAAAAGCTTTTTTATTTCTTTCTTTCCCTACCACCCAAAAGATAAGTCAAGAGAGTAAGATTTAGATATTTTTTCTTTTTACAATCCCCCCCCCAAAGCCCAAATCTCCTCCCCTTACTGAACCCGCAACAGCGCAATTAATTAATCCTTAGCATCCATAGACCATTTACCAAAGATTATACCCCACAGGGCACCATAAAAAAAAACAAGTGAAGTTGGAGAGCAGTTTATTGAGGTACCACACTTAGCATGACCTGTAAGAAGCACGGAATCATTAGTAAAAAGGGCCAAGTTCAGATGCAGTAATACTAACTCGGTCTTACTCTAGCACTAAGAAAAAGGAAACAATTCATGTTGAGAAGGAAAATGGGAAAATGAAGATTTGGCATGATTAGATTTGACTGATTGAAATTTTGCTGATATTGGCATAATTTATACACAATCACACATGAACCTGAACACATAAAAAGTTAGATGTCAACTGATAGTTTGAAAGTTTTGAGCAAATAGCGAAGCCAATATTCATGAGTTGTGCGGTGGGCAAATAAATCAGCATTCAATGAGGTTCTAGGAAACATATGCAATTTTAATCGAAGAGCCTGGTTTTGATTGTTGATAATTTGTTCTTATATGGTGAGATGCTGTGAGCCTGGTTTTGATTGTTGAAGATAATTTGTTCTGTCTGTGAAAACTTTTATGGTGAGAGAAATAGAAGAGTTTTTGAAGGGATTGATGATGTGGGGGATTTTGATAAGATCGGGAATAGATGGTTCCAAACTCTTAATTTTTTTATTTTGGGTCATCCTCTTTTATTCTTGTAGGATTTTTGGAGACTTTACAGACATTTTGTTAGAGGTGTAAATACTTTGTATACGTTATTGGAACCCCCTTGATACCTGTTAATATATTTGTATACTTTTTATTTTTAAAAAAAATTCTTCTGTTCATTTCTTACTAATATTATTGTGTAAATAACCCACAGCTTATTTGGAATAGTTGGAGTGACTGATAGATGCCTGGAGTCTCTTTCAAAGTTCTGCTCAAACACCCTCGCCACTCTTGATGTAAATGGATGCATTGGCATTAAGGTATTTCATGGTACTAATAAAAAAAGGTCTTTTAATACTAGTATACTAATATGTTGGCCGACAGATCGAAATCACCTAATTTAATGCTGTTGTATCCTATAGTTTTTACCGAGACATGCATACACCTCATTGTGAATTGGATATAATTTGAGATTATCCGGAACGAAAGGTTGATAGAAGCCATGGTGAATGTAAAAGGCGTGACAAATGAGACAAATCACTTTTAATTTGGCCGAAAAGGAGGCATGTGGGCAGATTAAGTGAAAATGAAATGGGTTCCATGGATAAGCTGTGAAACATTCCATGGATAACTCAACTGTTAAGAGTCTGTGTATGTACATATTAACGTGCATGCTTGCTTGTGAGCGAAGAATCTGTGCTCGGCACGTATACATACACACATTATACACAGGGTGCTGCAGCTTTTAAACTCTTGATTATTTCTGGAGTTGATGAATATGTGTTGTTCTTGCAGAGGCGAAGCCGTGATGAACTGCTTAGCTTGTTCCCACATCTGAAATGTTTCAAAGTGCATAGCTGACAAGTTCTTGATGAGAAATTTTAAGATGGACTTTCTGACATTGAAGCAAGTGGCAGCGCCAATCATTAATTTAAATTGGAAAATTGTTCTTATATGACATTAAATTAATAGTGCAGATTAAGATGTTGATTTTGTGTTCGATCCGACTTGCTTACTGTTAGCAAGTCCTCTGAACAGCTTGTATACTCACTTGTTGATATTGAGAAAAAGAATTTCAGGTGAAGAATGGTATGCCAGTCTTTTGGAGGGCACTAAGAATTTCTGCACCAGGCAAATATATATATATATATATATATATATAGACATATGATTATGATATCTTTTTCATGTCGATCTTAAAAAATGTCCATTTCAATTCTTTCATCCATTAAATTCTCTCTTTTTTGACAGAGAAGTGTTTATTCTCACAAGTAATTTACACTAATTCACAAATTTGATAGTGAAGTTTGATTCAGGATGGTTCAGA